ATCCCCGGGGGAAATTAGGTCCGGAGAAGTCCACTCCTTTTCCCAGCGACCCCGGTTTTGTTAATCTCAGTGTGGAAATGGCAGTGCTTGGCTTCTGTTCGGTTTCCCTGCCAGCCCAGCTCAGCTCTCTTGTTTCTTCCTTGTTTCCATTTAGTCCATAGGACAAGCACAAGTCTTAATCTAAAGAGAATACTTAAAAAAAAACAAAACCAAAACTATATACATTCATTTTGGAGGAAACTAAGCAACTCTTGGAGGATACAGAGCTCAGTGGTGGCTCTAGAGATTTAAAAGTGCAATAAAGTGTTCTGAAATTTGCCGCATTTATCTTATTTTAAAAGGCAGTATAGAATTCTGTTTATTGTGATATCTGTGTATCTATATGTGAGTGTTTGTAAATAAATAAAGCTTTCCTTGTTGGAGAGATGCTCAAACAGGTAATAAAGTGACCTGTGATCTTATGAGCCAAAGAAAATACTGTTTTGGTGTGTAACCTTCTACTCTTTGTTTCCAAATGCATATGTATCCTGTTATATCTTTATTTTTTTTCATCTAAACTGTTCCCGTACAACCGTTACAAAATCTCACCAAGTATATCACATTCTGCCATTTAGTCACAGTTGATGGCCTTGATATTTAAAGGAAAACAGATTTCCCCTCCCCACATTAATTGGTTGGGTCCCAGTCACTGGCAAGAGAATTTACCATTTGTTTTTTCCGAGGGGGGCACCTTTACAAATTCAGGTCTCAAGCTTCCCTGGCTTCTATAGATCCCACTTAGAAACCACGCTTTGAACTTAACGCTTGCCCGCCAAAGTTTTCTGGGATCCCTTGGAAGTAACTCACATTCGCTGCCTTCCAGACCCAGGGAGCAGGTGGTGCCAGCCATGAACTCTTTCTTTTCTTCTGCCTGTTCTGAAAGCTCCCCTTTCCTAACCTTGAGTGGACCAGATAGATGAGCCCTAGACTGGTGCCATTTCTACCCACGTGTCTCATACGTAGTATGCGTAGCATGACTTATAGGATACAACCTTCTGCTGCCAGGGAACCCAAAGTGTCCAAGGAAAACCACTGACATGACTTCAAGTGCAGGACAGTGCTACTTCCCATAAGCCAGCCAGTAAGCCAATACCTGCAGTGAACTGGCTAGACTAGAGTTATATCCTAAGAACTATATCCTATATCCTATTTCTAAGTCTCGGAGAATTCCACCATGTCAAGCAGTGACCTTTTGAGTGTTTTCCGTTAGGTCTCCCAGCTGTTTTCAATCTACCCGATTTGGGCTAAAATAAATTATAAATTGTAATAAGGTTTGTTCCAGCATTCATATTTATTAGATTTTAAGATTTAGTCACATATGGACCTAAAAAACAAATCTTTGATTTCTCCTTTTTTTTTTTTTAAAGCAATCAAGTGGAGTCTCTTGATTTTGACTACTTAAATATCAATTTGTGGTCTTAACCCACTGTTGGCTCCTGTAAAAGGTGTGGCTTTTCAAAACAAAGGTTTTCAGCATCTAGCTAGCAGAGAGGAACTAATGCCTCTTTAAATTAAAAACAAAAGATTTTCTTATTTGTTGTAATATATAGCTTGTTGTGTCAATTGAGTTGGGATCTTTTGGAATGTTCCATGGACTGTTTCCTTGGAGGAAACAGAACTTAATTGGTTACCGCCACATCCTTTAGACTGGTTGGCTCTGTGCAGGTAACAATGGAAGTGTGATTCAATTAATGTTTATTTTTAAATTAACATTTTAGTGCCTCCATGAGATGTAAATATGGCCATTCTTGAAAAAGAATTCTAAATGTTCTTTTTTTTTTTTTTTTTTTTTTTTTTTTTGAGACAGAGTCTCACTCTCTTGCCCGGGCTAGAGTGAGTGCCTTGGCATCAGCCTAGCTCACAGCAACCTCAAACTCCTGGGCTCAAACGATCCTCCTGCCTCAGCCTCCCGAGTAGCTGGGACTACAGGCATGTGCCACCATGCCCGGCTCATTTTTTCTATACATTTTAGTTGGACAATTAATTTCTTTCTATTTTTAGTAGAGACTGGGTCTTGCTCTTGCTCAGGCTGGTTTCGAACTCTTGACCTCGAGCGATCTGCCCGCCTTGGCCTCTCCAGAGTGCTAGGATGACAGGCGTGAGCCACCATGCCCGGCCTAAATGTTCTAAATGCAGCTAAAGTCTTGAGTCCTTGTGATCCCTGCCTTTCTTTGCCCCACCAGAAATATCCGTTATCAGTTTGGTGTGGACATTCATGGAAGGCAAAAGCCACACGTGTGTTTGAGTGTGTTTAACACCTGTGTTTAACGCCAGCATGTACTTGCCATTCTGCAGCTTGCTGTTTTCCCTCCACACTATGTTTTGGAGACCGTCCATGCTGTCACCCGTGGAGATAGCACATTCCTTTTAACCTCTGCAGACTGCTTTATAGGTTGGCTGCCCCACGGCTTTTTAGAACTTCCAGTTGCTTCCAGTTTTCCTTTATACCAACAGTGTTGCAATGAGCATCCTTGGGAATGCACCTTTGAATATGTGTGCAAGTGTTTCTTTATGCTAGACAGCGAAAAATGCCCTTTATTTTGTACATGAAGATCTTAAGAGACAGAGACTTGAAAATTGGCCAGGGTCTTGGAAATGATTGGCAGAGTGTGGATTTGAAACCCTTTCCCTGGATTTCTACCTTACCTGGTTGTGGATCCTTTACAAGTTTTTGTAGCAGGTCATTGGAATCCTTCGCAGAGCCAGTAAAAAGATAACTAAGGTGAAACATTGCTCATTTCAATTAACTAAGGTCAGTCTGAATTAGGAGAAAATACGAACTTAAACATGTCAGATTATGTAATTTTGAAGTTTATGCAGTGACCCACACTAATGTAACCTGGTAAAATCCCTTAAGAGAATCATATTAATGAACCAAGAAAATTAATAGTTATTTTTAATGATTAATAATTATTTTTAATATTTTAATATTAATTTAATGTTTATATTTAATAATATTTTATAATTATTTTTAAGAATAAAGACATATGGAAATTGTTCAACACAGTTTTTCTTATCTGTAGGTAAAATGTCTCTCTTACAATCTTTTTTGTATTTTGACATGCTTTAGCAAATGGTTTTTCCCTAGTTAGAGCCAGGTACCCATAAGCACTTCCTTTTTGAATGATTATAAATGAGCCAAGGAGGGTGAAGGGTGGAGTTTCACCTCGAGTAACTAGTCTGTGCCGTCTATGAGGCTTCCAAACATTTTCTCTTATGATCTTAACAATCTTGTGAAGTGAGTTATCCCATTTCCACTTCCTAAATGGGTCAACTGAGACAGCTCTAAAGCACCTTGCTTATCTGGGTTTGCCTGGCTTGGAAGACCAATACTCTATTATATTCTCGTTTCCTTGAATAACGGTCCTCAGCCCCCTGCATGAGAATCTCTCCTGGAATACTTATTCATACTGCAGGTTCCCCAGCCTGGGATTCTGCATTTTTAGCAACCTGCCGAGTGTTCCTTACGCACTGTGAGCCACTCTGCTAGATCATGGTGACCTCATTTTGGTGATGTGAGGAGCCTTGCCACAGAGTGTCCCACGCCCCCCAGGGCAAGTGGCTGTCCTCACGCCTCACCTGCGGGGGCACATTAGCCGTGCTCACCTGGACAGCCGCCTCCTCCCTCACCCACGTCCCTCCCCTCCTGTTATTTGCGCTCAACCTCACCAGGGCTCCTGGTCTGACAGGTCGCTTCTAAAAAGTTGAAATCATCACGCTGTATAGGAATCGCTTTCCAAAACAGGTTGAAATCTTCCAGTGCAAAATCACCAGATCCCAAGTGTTATCTTTTGCACTTTATACAGATGGAATCTGCATTTTGCTTTCTAACCCCCCCTTTTTTTTGCTTAAAAAGAGAGAGAGAGAGAGAGAGAGAGAGAGAGAGAGAGAGAGAGAGAGAGAGCGAGCGAGCAGCTTGCAGGAATGATTACTTTTGGAACACCAATATGTGCTTCATTTTTTCCTTTCTCGCCTCCCTTTTCCCACACTCCCCTGGTGGCGGATTTCCCATAAGTCTGCCCCTGATTGCTGCTGCCTTTCCTAGAAGTGAGGACATCCCCCTCCCTTCCAGCCCCAGCCCTCCCACCGGGGACGGACGGGGTTTTGGAAGAGCCAGCTAGGTTCCGTGACCACCTTTGCCTTTCTCTTTCTCCATTATTATCTTTTCTCTGAGCTCTGTGAAATTTTTCTTTTCCACTCCCAAACGACAATGCTTTCTGGAGCCAGAGCTCTAGTCCTTTCCAGCAAGCCCGATAGGCAGTTGCTTGGATGACTGGCAGGCATGGAGCCTGCCGTGAACGGATCCAGAGGGGGTTCCTAGACCAACTTGGATCTGCGTTCACACGTTATCGTTATCGTTCTGCACTGGCAACAGAGCATCCGTCTTTGTTTTGGTGTTGAGCTCATCCAAATAAAGAAGGCATTTCCTCTCCTGAAAAGGCAGAGGAAAAGAAAAAAAAAAAAAAGAAAGAAAAAGACATAAAAAGGAAAAAAAAATTTAATTTTAACCATGCACTCCTTTGAAACTAAATATATACCCCATCCTCTGTCCTGATTGGTCCGCTTCAATTGACAAGTGGATCGCGTGGAAAGGAAATATCCCGGACTTAATTGCAAGTTAAGTCTCTCTTAATCCAGAAGAGCATTTGAGATTCTGTCCAAGTGTTCAATTTCCCAGGCCGCTGAGGTCTGTGAATTTCTTTTCCCAGCCTCCAGGCTGCTGCAGTACAAGTCAGCATAGCTAATGCAGATAGATCTGCCTCTCGCTCTCCTCCTCCCTCTGCTTTGATTCGATATGAACAGCCTGGTAACTCCGGTGCTGGGGAGAAATCTGACATAACTCTGCAGATGGCTAGGTTGCCATGGAATACCTGGGGATTGTTCTTTAAAGAAAAGGTAACATTTATATGCTAATGATTTCTTCCCCCCTCCCTCCCCTCCTTGTTGCATTTTTTTTCCAGGGCTGCCAGTTCCCAAGAAGAGCCCAAAGTCGGTAAGGACTTGTCAGCTACTTGGTGCTGGTTGGGGTTGGGGTTGGGGCTGGGGGCTGGGGCAGGAGGCTTGGGGGAGGGGGAGGGTTTGTTGTCCCAGCTTCACTTCGCTAAATGTGTTTTTGGAGTGGATGGAGAGAGCCAGGAGCTGGGGCTCATTTTCTTAAGTTCTGGGGATCTGTCTAGTATAGAAGGCATTTGGGCTTGTCTTTAACTGTGTAGTGATTTGTGGGCTGCCTGCGGGAGCCAGAATAAAGAATGCATGTTTGGAATCTTCTCTGTACAAATGCATCCCTACTCACCTTCAAATGGATGAGTTTCTTAGCTGTTTTAACTTGATAAAAAAAAATGCTATTGTTCCCTTTGGAAAGAGGGGGAGAAAAAAAAAGCTTCCACCTGCTCCGTGAGTAGCATTGCTCTCAACTGGTGTTCCCAGCCGTTTACATGGCTACCCGTTCTCTCGCTCAGCTTTCCTATGCACGGGAGGATGAATTATTTACAAACTAAAAACCCTGCATATTTAAGGAAGAATTGCTCTGCCCTGCCCTGTATATATGACCATGCCCAGATGGAAAAATGTTCATTGCCCCAGCACTGGGAGAATAAGACATTTCCTTGCTGTGGAAATGTCCTTTGTTGTTTTGCTAGCTTTAGCAGCATTATGCTGCAGGTATAGGATTCTTTAAAAAAAAAAAAAAAATCAATGTTTTGCTGTCCTTTCTAATCTGGTTTCCCTGAAGATGCATTACCTAGTTGACATGTTAGCTAATAGCTTGGAGGCTATAGTGTTTTGCTTGGTGGTATGGGTTTTTTGCTCCCCGGGCACTAATGACAGATTAAAATGCTACTTAAAAACTCAAAATCTGGAACTCCCAGTGCCTGAGAAATTGATCCGGGTGGAAGGGGCTTCCCAATTCATTAACATTAGGATAAAGAGGGATGCTTCCTTGTGGCTTAGAAGATTTGAGGGGAGGGAATATTTACAGTTTTCTGCCACCCGGGAAAGGAGAATATTTAAAACTTTGCAGCTGTACGCGCTGCAGCTGAATTCTTTCCACCTGTCTCCGAGCCTGGCAGCACGAGGCAGAAGTTTATTAAGGAGATGAGAGAGCGAGCTCCCTGCATTCCTAAAGCCCACTCCTAAGTTCTCCAAACAGAAAAACCTGCAATAATTGACGTGATTCCGATGGCATAGCGCCATGGCGATTGGAACATTGACTTCAGGGCTGCTTCCCTTGTCAGTGTGCGTTAGTGTCTAGGCGGAAACGTGCTGGTTGGTGCCCACATCAGGACACAGAGATGCCGAAGTGTGTGGCATGTGCGCATGTGTGTCGCTTTATCCTTGGGCCATAGTAGCCCATTCAGCCTTCAGAAAAATGGAAGCGAATCTGGAAGATGTGCCTCATAAGCTTGAGTTAGCATGAGCCGCCCTTTTCTCGTGGACTTATTTTATACACCCCACATGGAGTGGAGTTCTGACAAGAAGCACACCGGGAGAGATACGGCAGTTTTGCGCAGGTAGCATGGCATCAAGTAGCAAGGCGTTCTTTTCTGCTTTGCATCCCATTTAAACTTAGTGTGCAAAAGGATTTTTGCAATGCACTTTCATTGCTTCTTCCCCAAAGTGTTCTAGAATTACCTGGCGAACTCAGAGGGCAGCCAACAGGTATGGAGCCAGCGGCTCACCAAGTCAGCGAAGAGAATTCCCTGTGACAGTTAATTCTTGTAGAAGCCATGTCATTAGTAAGCAGCAAGCCAATTACTCGGGCTGCATTCCTAAGGAAAAAAGCTCTCCGCTGCTTTTGCCTACAGTCTGCTGGCTGTTAGTTACCGCGAGCTAAGAGAAATGGTATGTTGCTGGGTCGGCAAAGAATAAGACCCCCAGCGTGGGGCTTGTCCTTACCTGATTTCTGTGCCAGGACAGGGATGATGGTTTTCACAGTGTGGCTGGCACACTCTGGCAGCTGCTGCACAGAATCTGAAAGCTCTCAGCCAAGGTCTGCTGTTGGCAGTAAAGCATTGCTCACATCTTTGATCAGTGAGAGCTCTGTACAGGTGGGTCGAAAGCTGTTTTCCTTTCCCTGTTTGAATTTTGATGATGTCCTGCCAGAGAGACAGATGATTATGAGGGTGGGTTTTTTTTTGTTTTTTTTTTTTTGTAGGGTTGGAGGGAATCCATGGGGAAGCTGGATGTCCTGGTACTAAAAAGCCATTCAGGTAATGACAGGGTCAGTCATGCAGGATGCGTAATTCAAAGCACACTGATTGTGCCTAAGTGTGATTCACTGAAACTTAGCAACAGCTCTCTGCAAATCAGGACCGTGGGTTTTGTTTTTCTGTTTTGTCTTTTTTTTTTTTCTTAGAAGCTATTGGCATTGTTGGCGTCTCATATGACCAGCAGCTTCTGTTTGTCTTTGTACCTTTTTTTTTTTTTAAGGTTTTCAATAATTAAGTAGTTGGGTTTTTATTAGAACAGAAGGACTTCTTTTTTATCTTGTTTCTCCTCCTGGGTAGTCCCTATAGTTTACCCTTAATAAGCAATTTCACCTACTAGATTTAGTTTAAATGTTGTATTTCTGGTTTATATACTCAGTGGGGACCATGGCAGTATATTAATAAAATTTTATTAATTTAATACCTGGACTTCCATTACATTAGGGATTTTTTTTTTTTTTTTTTGCCAAATAGCAGAGACAAAAATAAAACATATTTGCTGTCAGGTTCCAGACCTCTCTGGGAAACTGATTCTGTGGCCCAACTTTTTCATCCTGACCGAAAACTTATTTAACTTGAGACTCTCAGTCTAAATCACACACAAGGATCTAGTGTATGAGAATTTACAACTGTAAATGTCACACCAAACCCTGAATTTTAAGTCACTATCCACCTGTGCTTTCCTCCTAATTCATTTCCCAACTACTCCTTCCCTTTCTCCCTCTCTTCATCTGTCCATTTGTCCGTCTGTCCATCCATACATTCATCTTTCTTCTAGTCATCTATCCGTGCATACACTCATCCACTTATTTATTTATTTTGAGACAGAGTCTCACTGTGTTGCCCAGGCTAGAGTGAGTGCTGTGGCGTCAGCCTCGCTCACAGCAACCTCAATCTCCTGGGCTCAAGCCATCCTCCTGCCTCAGCCTCCCGAGTAGCTGGGACTACAGGCATGCGCCACCATGCCCGGCTAATTTTTTCTATATATATATTTTTTAGTTGGTCAATGAATTTCTTTCTATCTTTAGTAGAGACAGGGGTCTCGCTCTAGCTCAGGCTGGTTTCGAACTCCTGACTTCGAGCGATCCTCCTGCCTCGGCCTCCCAGAGTGCTAGGATTGCAGGCATGAGCCACCGCGCCCGGCCTCATCCACTTATTTACCAAACTGATTTTGAGAGCCTCTTCAGAGTCAGGTTTGGTGCGATGCACTGGAATTACTAGAACAAATAAGATGGCCATGGCACCTCTCTTCTTGCAGCTTGCATACACGGGGTTTCTCGACTGCTCCTTTCCACAGAAAGGGTTCATTATCACAGATTACCAAAGATGTCCATGTATTCTTTCCACCAGAATTCATCGAGTTCCTTCTGTGTCCCAGACCCAGTGCCGGTGTCCACCAGGAACTAAGAGGACATTCTTGCCTTTGTGGAGCTCGTGGGGGAGAGAAATAGCAACCCCATCAACAGGCAGATCTGTACAGACCCTCCCCTCATGGGGACTAAAATCTGATGAGGATGTGCTTTCAAACGTTACAAAAGCAGAAATATAACAGAGAACCAAGTACACACATAATGGAAATCATCCGGCTCTTATTTACGTCCTGGAAGCCCTCCTACAATGCCAAGCCCCAAGGTTGGGTTAAGTGCCGTGGAATTCTTTGGAGTTCCCAGGCAGCCCAGGAAACCACATTATATGCTTAGCTATTATTCGTCAGATGAAAGAAATCGTGCCGTTTCACTAACGAGATAAAACCTTCCTAGTGACTGCAAAAGTCCTACACAAAGTTTTCATGTAGGGGGACACTGGATGGTGGGCGAGACAGTCGCTTCAGCAACCCCTTTATGGCAAATGTAGCAAGCTGCAAGGCAGCAGTAGTGACAGGTTTTTATTCCACAGTCCCCCATCTCTTTCCCCTGCAAGGGGAACTGGAGGAAATCGCCACAAACTAGTCGTTAAGAGATGTAAGGGAGAGACCCCTCTTACATGATGTGCATGCTGGGTGGCTCCAGCCTGAGTCACTCAGTTTTATGCCCCCTTTCTCAGACTCTCCCCTTTCTCAGACTCTCCCCTTTCTCAGACTCTCCCCATGCCTGGCACCTGCCTGTCCTCCTACTTTTCCCTGATGCCACTCGCCTGAACAACCAGTACGAAAATCAATCCCGTCAAAGCTTTTACAGGCTACAAGCAGCAGCAGTGAGAGTAACAGTAGATGGGGGAGGGAATCAGAGTCACTTAGGTTTGTCTCCTTGTCTCCTGCCTTCCATGACAACTCAAGTTCCCCGCCTTTTGGAGCTCTGGAAGACAGACTCTGCCATTGTATTAGATTCCTTAAACGTCCAGCGTGAACCAGAATTTATTTCCATAGCCAAATCAATGCTTTCCTTTTCTTCTCCATTAACTCCTCTTGCCTGCCTTTTTGCAAGAAAAAAATCATTTCGCTTAGACCCATAAACAGACAGAAAGAAGGACCCGTCTTCTGCTTTGGCTTGGATTGGAGACTCTGATTTTCACACAACCTTTAATGACATTGGCCTAATACCTCATCAGCACTTGGAGTTTTTCCTGTTGTCCATGTAAATCACTGCAGTAGCCTTCAGTCTTGGCAGATAAGTGAACTGTAAATAATTTTGCTTTAAAATGGATCGATTTGTCATTTTTTAAGCCACATGAATTCTTTTCAGCATTTAAGCTCCTAAGTGCTATCTGTATTCATTTGTTCTTCCGAGCAAATATTTTCAGTTCGCTTTATAAGTACCTGCATTTCGAAATCATTCTGTGAAATACTGGTGAGCTGATTTTTTTTTTTTTATCCCCCCATTTCCATTTATAAAAACCATTGCATCTTCCCAGTGCCCCTGGCCCGGCAGCAGTAAGGGAATCATCATTTCAGGGAGGGCTTGGTGTAGGGTTTTATTATAAAAGGTCTCGTGGTACAGGTTCACGGCCAATGTGTGGCCAAAGGACATTTTATGGAGTTTTTAAAATTGAGTCCATTTCCTCCTTTCTAATTGGCTGTGATTTGATACTCACATAAAATTCTTACTTCAAAACTATCAGCATAGTGACAGCATTGGGAATATCCATCTCAGTAAGTGACACCCCCTCCCAGCCAGTTACTCAAGTTGGAGACTTTGGGGGTTAGGTAGTCTTATCTCCTCCTCATCCTCCTCCTCATCCAATCGTCCAGCAATGCCTATTGCATTTGGCACCATGGTGTCTTTTGATCTCACTTGTTCCTCTCCTGGTCACTGTGGCCACCTCACGGGGACAGCAGCTGGCCCCTCCCGACTGGCCTCTCCACTTTGACTCCTCTTCCCCACTGATCCATTTACCACCCAATAGCCAGACCAAACTTTCTGGAAATTCACTGGCTCTTGGCGCATACCTGCGCTTGACGTTGATTAATGGATTCCCCCTCTTGAACTAAGAATAAAACCTAGACTCCTCACGGTAGTCCCACCCGCTTGCTGTACCACTCTAACCTTTCTGTTCTTCACACACAGTCCAGCTCATTTGTTCCTTGGGGACCCGTCACATCCTCTTTCCATCGGTGGGGTGTTCTTCCTGAGTTCTCTCTTCACCACCTGTCTGAAGGACAGTATAGCATGTTGTTGTTAATGTTATGCACATTTGATTAATATCGTGCACACACACACACACACACACAGATATACACTCAGGTGTAAGTTCCAAGAGCCCAGGTACCATCTCTTTCTCATTCGTTACACTAGTTGAATCCCTCAGTTTCTGGCACATGGTTGGTTATTGACATGTATTTACTGGGTGAATGAGTGAACGTATTGCAGGTAGTCCACTCAGGAGAGCCTGGCCTGGACGTTCTACATTGGTGTTCTAGGAGCTTCCATCATCCTTGTTCTTAGCAGGCCTAGGGCTCTCTTAACACACTTGAAAGTGTGCTGTTAACTGCAGCTGCTTGTCTTTGGGCAAGTGTGTCACCTAGAAAAGTGAAGTGAAAGACAGTTGCATTAGCTGTAAATCTGGGCCTGTGTTATAACTAGTTCACAAGTAAATTTATTCTCATGCCCAAGCCTTCTGGGAGGTAATCCAGACTGCCAAAAGGGCATGCAAGTTGACTTTAATTTGGGAGATATATAAACACAGCTTTTCTCCCGAACAATCCAGGGCTCTAAACAGATAAAGGACAACATCATAGCTAATTAGCACGCTCACAGAAAATAAAAAGGCAGTTTTTGAACTCCTCTTGCCCCCACCCCTCACGCATACACAAACAGAGCATAGCTTCAAACAACCCAGAGTGCCAACGACGTATTCAGAACAGAATGCATCTTCAAATGAAGGCATTTTCTTCACTGAACTCCAGAGGGAACATAGAGTGAGATTAAGTCTTAACCGGGGGAAAATCCAAAAAGCTTCCAGACTGTCGTGTGTTTGGCCCATTAGTATGCCATTTATAGGTGCCATTTAGTGGTGGTTTATTGGTGGCACAGTTTTGAGAGCACATTCTCAGGGTGCTCCTTTGCTTTTATTTTCCAAATTGAGGGATAAAGTTTAGGTGGCATTTAAAAAGGGACTCAGAGGTGTAGTTGAACTGAGGCAATTTTGCAAGCTCATTCCGGATTGTATCTGTCATTTTGTATTAGATTGGACCTAAATGAGTCGTTTATTGGGGAGGTGAGAAGGAGTGTTATAATTTGAAAAATGGCCCAAGTGTTTCCAGTAGACTTCATTTGCACCCTCTGTTTATGGTGAAGCCATCTCTCCAGTTAAACTTAAGAGATCTAGAATCCTCCATCTCAGAGATTTGTTACACTAGGCCAGACATTCGAGTGTCTCAGAAACACCTTAGGTGGTATCCTGAATCTGTGTGCGTGTGTGTGTGTGTGTGTGTGTGTGTGTGTGGGCGGGGGGTATGTATGTAAAAGCTCATACACATTTTCTTTTGGAGAAAGGTCCAGGACTTTTACCAAAGTCTCTTAGTGGTCCAGAGTTGGCAGAAAGATATTTTTCTCTGATTCAGGAAGATATTTTTCTCTGATTTCAGGAAGCCTCTTCCACTCTATTTTTCTCTGATAGAGTGGGGGAGGTTTGAGTTAGGTTTCCAGGGTAACTGCCCAAGAAGACAATGGGATAGAGACTGCGAAGTAACCTCACTAAAGAAGATTCTCTCAGGTAATGGCAGCGTGCAAGGCCTTGTGAAGAGCAGTTTCAACACAAAGGAGACTAGAGCTTCCAGGGTTAGAGCCTGACTTTAATGTGAACTGAATTTGGGGTTGATGGATTGATCCTCCAACTGGGCGTCTGCTACTCATTTTGAGGAACCAAGAGAGAGGTGGGCATTTGAAGGGTAGGGGGGGCGTGTGACTCAGGATAAACTCGGAGGTCCGATATTGAATTATTTGCTTTTGCATTTAAAATATCTTCCCCTCTGTCAGAGGTGAACAAAAGCAAAACACCAGCAAAATGTAAAAAAAAAAATAGAAAGTAACAGTCACCATTAATTCTAGTAATACAGGAAAGTATAAAGGTCAGAGGGGAAAACCCACCATAATGGCATGTTTGTCTATGTATTCTAGTGTGTGTCCACACCAAAAATGGACTGATTTTATGCATAGTGGTTTATACATAAGACCCTTGTAAAGACCACATTAAAGAGGGAAAAAAAAAACAATGCCCATGTGCATGCAAAACAGAATGGGTATTGATTCTCCTATCAACATTTTCTGACTCTGGAAGTCTTTAGCATGTCGCCCAGGGAAGCGACAGGTATTATTGCACTTGTGGGGCAGGACCAGATACCCGACAGGGAAGACACTGTTGGAAGTTGGCAGAGCCAGCTTCTATTTCAAGTCTTTGGAATGCTCATCTGTCTGGACCTGAGCTGAGCACTTGGTCCTCAGAAGAGAAACATGGTGACATGGGGTGATGATGGTGTCTGTCCCCGCCCAAACATCAGTGTGTTTTCCTGGCATCTTCACCTGTGTATGTTTTCCCCTTGAATCCGCGTGAATTAGGCCTCTCCTAACAGTTTTCCCAAGACCTCTGAGCTAGCTTAGAATATGGTCCTCACATTTCTCCCGCAGGTGCACCGAGCACAATTTTAAATGTTCTATCTTACCATCATTAAATACACGCCCCGTTTTTCTCAGCTTGGAATCTTTGCCAAAACCTGTATTCCGATCTGTCGTCTATGGTGATAGTCATGAGCAAAATGAAGTTTTTGTCTTCCTTGGGGTTTCTTCAGATGCTTCTTTTAAAGCAGGGACTGGAAGGAGAAGTGGAGGGACCTGAGGATTAAATGCAAAGGGCCTTGGAAATTTCCAGTGGAATTCCAGGGGATTGAAAGATGAGGATTCCTGGGGAGAAAGCAAGGAGGAACTGTCATGATAGGAGTGATGGTAACACCTGGAGGAAGATTGGGGCGCTGTAGGGAACTTTAGGGAACTGGAATGCTTGAGGTCAAAGTTCTTTTAAACTACTTTAAAAACATGAGCCCTACAGGATCTATAAGAGAGGATGGAGAGACCCTTCCTGTCCCCTACCCTACATAAGCTCTTAAGCAGAGCAGCATAGTGACATGGTGTCTATACTGCTACATAGGAGTCAGCCTCTAGGATTTTTATCTTGAATGGGAGAAACTAAATACCTGGAATGACCACAGTCTTCCATTGGAAAACACAAGAACTAAAATTATTTTATTTCCCACCCCGTATTTTTCCTCCCACTAGGTTTTTGCTTCTCCATTCATTCACCATTCAAACAAAGAACATTTCATCAAATGGGAAGGGTTTTTCATGATTAGCTCTCAGTGATCAGGGGCTTGCTCATTCTACTGAAAGTTAAGTGGAACTCTTCCACTTTGAATATTGCTTGGACTTTGGGCAAGTTGCAAATCTAAGAAGGCTGAGCCCCTCAGTGGTCAACCCATATATAAAGTTTGATCCGGGTGTTCAACCAGCAGTAGTGTTGGCAGTTCAAGAGGTGAAATGCAATGCCTGCAGAATTGATTAGCTAGGAATTATGGAAGCTCTTCATATGATAGTTATTTATGTACATGTAAGTGCCAGTGCACATGGAGTGCTAGGCATGATTTTTAGAAGATCTGACCTCTATTTCTTAGAGTTTAGAAGGACTAACGGCAAACCCTTAGAGAGGAGTTAGGTGTTTTATTATTAAAAGATGCAAGACATGGGGTCCCAAGGGGCATTTTTAGCCCTGATTGTATTTCTTCTGGATATTATTATAGCCTGTCCGCTAAACCACTCATGGTACTTTGTGTCACATATTTTTGTCAAAAAACGGATACACCTTGCAATAAACGAGCTCTGTGTCTTAGCTGAGGACCTGTGATGAAAATTGGATTTGTTTTCTGCTCCAGCCCAGAGAGCAAGTACGGTTTGTGATTATGTCTTTCTGTCTGGCCCGCCCCTCTGTCTGTCTGCCAATCACCTGGGGATTTATCTGCATTCAGCATTAGCTGGAGAAAGGTGGGAGCCAGAGTGTTGTTGATATATTTATGTGTGTGTGTGTGTGTGTGTGTGCAGAAGTGCTTTACAGAGACAAGCTGGTGGAAAACACCCACTCAGAAAACCAGGAATAATCTGCTTTCCTTGCCCCCCTGGCTTGTGTACTTTCAGCAACCACTGGAAAGGAAAGACAGCCAGAACAGTTCCCAGCACAGTGTCTCCAGCCACCGGAGCCTGCACACGGCGTCCCCCAGCCACAGCACGCAGGCGCTCCCCGCCTTCCCGCCTGTGGAGGCCCCCGCTGCAGATCAGACGGACAGCTCCGGGCAGAAAAAACCGGATCCTTTTAAGATCTGGGCCCAGTCCAGGAGCATGTACGAGAACCGACGTGAGTAACACCCCGGGTCCTGTCTCCCCCAGGCCCCTCCCCGGGACTCCTTTCTCCTGAGGCTTCTGGAAAATAGAAGAGTTTCAGCGTGTAAACCGGATAGAGGGAAACCAGAGAGAGAGGCAAAAGCTTCTCGGAGCGAGTAGAGTAGACCCTGCCGGATATTCGTCAAGGCTCCCTCAGCCCTTCAGTTTAAGGAGAGGGTGGAAGTGGATGGCCATCAAATAAGTGTCCTGGATAAAAATGGATTTTTTTTTTCTCCCTTCAGTTAAAAGAAGTGGCAGATAAGAGCTGCTGTCTCATTAATTCTGCCCTGAGTGGGGATCGGGGCATGCTTTGAGCTCATGTCTTGTGAAACAGACCTGGCCTACAGTAGAGCATAAATATGACGGGTTCAGATTATATAGGGGCAATGAGAAGGAATTAAATGCTTTCTTGGTGGTCTCTTGGGTTTTTTTTTTCTTTAAACACCACTAATTTTTTTTTTTAAACCATTATCAGTCTTTCTAAACATTGCCCTCAAAAAGAACGGAACAACAGTGAGTGAGTGGTTCATGCTTTAATTATTTATGCGGTGGATAAGCACACTGATTGGCTTTACCTGTTTCTGTAAATAGGAGCCGGTGAGGGCAGCCTTTGTAACTTCTTGATTCTTGCAAGCCTAAGTATGCCCTTCATTTTTAATTTCTTACTTTTTCTCCTGAAATGATTTCCAAAGAGTTTTCACCCTAAGTGTGATACTCGTTCATCTTACCAATGAAAGTTCCCCAAATGTTTTCATTTTAGGGGATGCCAACTGCTTTTTGGGGTAGGGGCTATTGCTGTTTTTTGATGTTTGTTTTCTGTTGTTTTCTCATGAGTATAGTTGGTCAGGGTGACGCAGGTATAGAGTTTGTGCATCACGATGGGGGAGATGTTGGCTTTGTTGAAGGGTTGAGGAAAAGCGGAAGAGAGAAAGGAGTCGTGGTGCCCATGCTCCTGGTCCCTGCCTCCCTGCACCGCAGGTTTCATTCCCTAGTGACCAACAACCATGGTCACCCTGCGAAGAGTTGTGATGGAGAGGGTCGTGAGTTGTGTTGAGCTGGAGGGGTACACCCCAGCCCCCTGCCCACCACTGGGGCTGAGCTGAGCTGTGTTTCCTTTGTTGCGGGAAGTGTGTGTTGGGAGACTTCAGGTCTTCCACAGTCCCAACAGAACAGGGGAGTGAGGCCGGACGCCCTGTCTCGGGAGGAAAGCTGCTCATTCCACAGGGTTAAAGCCCAGCAGTTTGGGGGCGCAGGCGAGCCTATTACCAAAGGCAAAAAGTCACTGGGGCTCCCTGCCACCTGTTTCCCCATCAAAGGCGAAATACCATCACCTTCTGACTGCAACAAAGCATGGAATCCAATAGGCTGTTTTGGCTAAAAGTTCACCCTGCAGACAGAAGCCAGCTAAAGTCACCCCTGAAGTACCTGGAGGCCAGGCCAAGGGGCTTAAATTGCATCTGCAGAAATCCCTGTTACATAGTAGATGCTAAGCAGGAACTGGGCTCTGTCCTTACTGTGTCTCCTCATGAATTGTAGTGATTTCCACGGAAGAAAACCATGGAAGAACCGTGTTCCAGACTGGAGTGTTTTCACATTCCTTCCACATTTCTCTGACTGTGCGGCCCCTCCACCCAGTGGCCCAGCCCAGTCACCGTTGAGATATTGCTTTATCGACTGTGCCCCTGCGTTCCTCAATGCAGTGCACACTTATGATTGAGTTTTCCACGTAGTAATCTGTTAGTGATCAAATAAATCGTGCTCTGAAGAGCCGGTGGGGCACCCCAGATTGACGGGGACATGTTTCGTAGGAGGCTGCCGCACAAATGCCATTTTCACCCTCGTGGAAGCAGACTTCCTTACAAATTTGGTGTTTAATCCAATTATTTCAAATGTTATCAGAAAAAAAAAAAAACAAATAAGAGAAATAAGTACTGTGATCACAGCCAGCTGCTATAAAGCATTGAAATTGCTCGGGTGCTAGCCAGGCTGAAATATCTGGAATGGTGGCAGTTTTTTGTTGCTTCACTTTTTTTTTTGGTAACATCTGAGAAATTGGATATAGCATCCCAAGTGAGAATCAGTTTCATTTTGGTGATTGGAGGCTCTGTAATTGAGTGAGAGTAGCGACCTCGTGGATTAAGATTCACCTGGATCCCTTCCTTACTACTAACTAAGGGTAATGGTGAGATTTCCCTCCTCCCTACCCGATAATCACTCGGTATCTATCGCAGGTTTTCTTCTTTTCACAGTACCTAGGAATGAATCTGCATCAATCTGGTCTTCAAATAAGTATGTTCCTTTATCCCAGATCGGTTTCTGCCATTCCCCAGGTGGTTTTGTATCTTGTCTTTTAGAAGGAAAAAAAAAAAAAAGTACATAGCCTTATTAGATGTGACTCCCTGCCCTTTGTCCCAAGACATGGTAAAATGATCAAAATACTCGGGGAGAAATAGGAAAATTGAAATCAGCAAGAGCAATAACTGTACATTTTCGTGTGTTGAAAGTATATTTTCCTTATATTTTGTTGTAAAGAGCAATGTGAAGATGAACACCATGTCGGATCACTTTCCTTCACATGATCTAAAACGTTTTGCAGAATACCCATATTTTTGATATGGCCATCTCTCGAAACAACAGTGTCAGAATGAACCGATCTGAATTGCAGACATGTTAATGAATTCCTTTGAATGGTTTCAATGTTTAATTAAAAACAAACACAAGCATTCATGTCCTTTAAAAGCCATGTTGCCTGTTTTGTATTTTCTCTAGGGAAACACAGAAATTGTGCGCAAGTCTTTAAAAATGGCTTTGATGCAGTCTTAGTAGTAAATGCTCAGGAAAATAAGCTAGTGTCCAGTAGTGTTTACTACAAAAGAAATTCTAAAGCTTGTAGTTGAAACTTTGCCTGTTCACAATACAGTTTGGAAAGAAAAAAGCTCAAAGCTGTCATATCAACCAACTCTGTAAACCTGTCCTGCTTTGGAGAGACTTGCTGACGAGTTTGGAATGGGTGAATGAGCTTCCGTTATCATAGTGAGTTTAGGAAGCTTGGGTGTACTTATTTTAAGAGCTATTACGAAAGCTCCTATCTGTGTGTTTTTTCAGATCTTGAACAGATCCAATGATTGACATCTCTAAAAATAAGACCATTCTGGTTTGAACTGCCTAGAATTCACCTCAACCAGCTGTTAGTACTAGAATGCATTCCATTAGGAACTTGATACCCTTTTATTAATAAATGCTGTGGGGCCGGGTGCGGTGGCTCACGACTGTAATCCTAGCGCTCTGGGAAGCCAAGGCGGGAGGATTGCTCAAGGTCAGGAGTTCAAAACTAGCCTGAGCAAGAGTGAGACCCCGTCTCTACTATAAATAAAAAGAAATTAATTGGCCAACTAATATATATAGAAAAAATTAGCCAGGTATGGTGGTGCATGCCTGTAGTCCCAGCTACTCAGGAGGCGGAGGCAGGAGGATCGCTTGAGCCCAGGAGTTGGAGGTTGCTGTGAGCGAGGCTGACACCACGGCACTCACTGTAGCCTGGGCAACAAAGTGAGACTCTGTCTCAAAAAATAAAATAAATGCTGTGGAGTAGCAGTAGCATGAACATACTTGAATTTTTTCAAAAGACAGTGAGAGTTTAGACAAACCTTCATGACATGATTAAAACAAGGCCATTTGAAAATGTGTACGTTAGGGTATAATTAAATGTGAAGAATTTAAGGTGATAATGGGAGTTATAGGAAACCCTCGATGGTACAGTTGTAAATTCTAGCTTTTTGACAAGTAAAGCACTGTGGGAAAAAAAGAAAAAGTGGGACCAGACCATAGTCCTTTGAAATCCCTGGCAGCCATGACCTTTATTGGGAAAATTGAACTGCCTGTTCCTTATCCATCAAAACTAAATGAAAATGAACTAAGAGAAAGAACGTACGTTGAGCTTTGCAAAATTATGAAATTAATGTTCCAGCTATGTCACCTTCGCCTGCATCGGGATTGAGCAAGGGTGAGAGAGAGAGAGAAGTCAATTCCACGAGTTTTGGAGAATGTCAGAGTAAGGACCTGCCGCAAACTTGTGTTTCTCCATTATCATTCATCCTGTTTGGTGTTCCCATCCGTCTGGGGGTCAGAGGGTCTGGGGAGAAGTTCCGAAAACAGAGGGAAGAAAAAAAAAAGCAGCTCTAAGGGGAGTGCTTTGGGCACCCTTGTTGACCAAATGCAAACCAAAGACAAGACGGAATAAAAAGTGATAAGCACGTCTGGTCTTGGGCTACCCCAGGAGGTTTCCCTGCAAACCTGGTGATTCCATGGTCTCTATCAAAGGAAGTCTTTGGACTGCTTTACTGAGTTTGGTAATGCCAGTAGGAGATTAACCCTTTGCGCTCACCTGCTTTTTTCTCATTCCTTTTATTCTGCTTAACCGTGTCAGGCCACACTCAGCATCCTAGCGCAAAGGGTCAACTGCAGATTGTTCCCTGCGCAAAGGCTTAAAATGAAGAAAACTGGACAAGATTTTCTTAGCTCTATTTAATTTAGCCTCGCTCAAAAAAAGAAAAAAGAAAGTTATATTAATGTCAGAAAAATGATGCTTCCCTACTCTCCTAAAAACTTAATAAAACCTGAAATAAAGAGGAGAGCAAACCATGTGGGGCGAGTGGCTTAGAAACCTCAAAGCCTTTATGAAGAAGTGATGTCAGAGGAGAGGAATTTTAGAATCCCATAATATGTTTCAGTACTGATTTATCACAAAGTTATATATCTGGGTAAATGGCATTTAGTCGCTGGAAGAGTAAAATTGTTAACAATGCTTAAAATTCAAGTCCCCAAAGGCTTTCTTTGGAACATGTCCGTGTGTCCGTGTTTGTGTCTGTGTTTCGTGGCTCATCGTCCGTGTCTTGAACATTCCTGGTGTCCCTGGGCATCTTCCTTTTCAACAGAAAACTTTAAAAATAAATTTGACTTTTTCCCCACTGGTTCTCAGAAGGCACCAAATGCTTTTTTTCTCCCTCCCCTGTGGACTAAACTGTGTGATAAGCCTAAGTCTCTTGGCCACAGTCTCCCATACCATGATGGCTTCACCTAAATGAGCAACAGAAGGCAGAGACTTGCTACATTTGGTGTCACCGTAGGATGGGCAAATGTTCTGGTGTTAAATGACGCTGGGGGGAAAATGGGTCTGGGCTGGAGGTCTCTGCAGAGGCCCTTTTGTTATTCACAGAAAGGCCACCCCCCACGCTTAGCAGACCCAAAACAGGCTCTGCCAGGAGCCCAGCGCTGGCTGGCAAGCGCCAGCCGTCTATTTTGGTAACAGTCTTCCTGCTTGAGTGAAGCAAAGATGGAGACACAACTTGATTTAATTTGTTGTTTCAATGAGGCTATTATAGCAAATACCCTTTTAGCCACCTACTCAAATGGAAAGAAAATATTGTTACCTTCGTGTGCTGGAGAAAAATCTCTCTCCCAGTTGTGTTTATGGGCATCCAAGGCTGCAGCTCAGCTCCCTGTTCCTTGGTGGTTTGCAGCTTAGCCTTGGCAATTGTAATAATAATAAAAAAAAAGCCATGGATAGAAAGCACCCGTTTAAAGCCATTGCGTTGAGACAGCTCAAGCGAAAATATCAGATTCCAACTCCTCTGATTTGTACTTATCGTTAATTTAGTTTCTTCTCTCTTGGTGTACTCATTCACTATACATTTTCAGCTTGTGGGTGAGTCACTAAAAAGGGACATTTCCTGCCAACTTGAAATCTAAACATCCACCTTCTTCTTCCCTATTCCATTGTACAAAATTGAGGAATACAAGAATTAAATTCTCGGGGCCACACACTCCTTTAGCCTAAAATTCAGTTAACTAAATAAACCAGAAAGTGCAGAACAACATTTAAAAATCTCCTTTAGGATTCACTGCAACTGAATTATATGTTTTTTTTTCTCTTTAAATAAAAGATAGATCATTTTAAAGGTCATAAAACACCCTATGTATATGCTAACATACTAAATAAGAATTAAATAGAAATAACCCTTTTTATTGCCTTAGTGAAATAACAGAGTGGTATATAGACCAATTTCATGTGTAGTAAGCATTTTCTTATGGAAATTACCTTTCTTTTAAAAAAATGAGATTTTCATTTTAAAGCCCTGGACCATTACTGAGTATTAAAAGCAAAATATCAAGTTATTGGGTAATAAATTAATACTTACAGTGTTGAAATATCATAGGCAAATTCTGGAGTAAAGCCCTAATTTTAGCAATGAGATACGGTCCATTACTATAGAACTTTTTTGTCATCACCCATTGATCTTAAAAATATGGAAAGCTGGCTACTTTTTGGTAATAATGTTGAAATCCTAGTAAACTTTGTACAGCCATCCATCGATATCTGCTGTGGATCGGTTCCATGACCCCCCAAGGATGTCAAAATCCATGGATGTTCAAGTCCCTTATATATAATGGCATAGTCTTAACATATATGCACATCCTCCCATGCACTTCAAATCATCTCTAGATTGCTCATGACACCTAATATCAATGCCAAGTAACTAGTTGTTATACTGTATTATTTAGGGAATAATGACAAGAAAATAAGTTTGTGCATGTTCAGCACAGATGCAGCCAGTCTAGGCCTAACTAAAATTTCTATCCGTGGTTGGTTGAATTCAAGGATGCAGAACCCAAGGAAATGGAGGGCCGAGTATATATTTGGAAGTATTAGGATGTTTGAGAGTTATCTGGCTGGCAAAAATAATCTAACATCAAATTATTAGTATTGCTGCTGTTAATTATTTTAAGGAAGAAAAACGTGAGTTAAAAATAAAATTAGAAACCCTTCTTAAACCAAGTTGTTTTTCTCTCATCGTCTAGCTGATAAAACATCTGGTGATTGAACAGGACTTCGAAATCCTTAGAGCTAGCTTCTGTTTCAGAGATCACTCTGGCTTAGCATGAGTTCTGTTCTGGGGAATAATTTTAATGTTTCTTGCAAGACTAGTGAGTAGAGCGGTTAACGACCAACATCCACATGCTTGGAGATGGAGTGGCTAGAGTTTGGTTAGGAATTATCAAGCAGTGGTTAGTCCTTTGAAGAACTTTAGGGCTCAGGGACTGTCCCCACCGTTTACTTTGACCCCGTGTGGTCCGTTATTTCAACCATCCAGATAATTGTGTCTCAGCCTGTGTCGGAAACTTTCATCCACTCAAGCGCCATCATCCTCTGTCCTGTCTGTAATCGTGCTCATCTTAGCAATACTGTTGCTTTTATCTGTGAAATAATCTTTCTCTTCTTTCTCTCCTCTGTGCAGTTCCAGATTACCAGGAACAAGACATCTTCCTCTGGAGGAAGGAGACGGGATTTGGATTTAGGATTCTGGGTGGAAATGAACCAGGGGAACCTGTGAGTCTTTCGCCAGTGTTTTTTCCTAAGACTTCAAAGCAAATGGGCAGCAGTGACAAATCACCAAGATTTGAGTCTAGCTAGCTGCAACACCAACTCTTTCATCTTGAGCAGTGTGGGTTTTTCATTGGGTTTTGTGGAGCTCTCTTTGTCTTCAGGAAGAAGGGACGAGAGTCTTTCTATAAAAAGTTTGTATTAGCGTTTGTGAAAAGTGGCAGCTGCAGCATTTGACCCCCTCTTCACTAAGGGAAAGAAAAATAGAAAGTAAAATAGGAATAGGCATCAACTAATAAAACAATGGCCTGATCCTTCTGTCCAGTTCACCAGTCTGCCAGCAGGTAGAGTGAGCTTTGTGTGTTGAACACCTGGTGGGCAGAGACTACTTCACAAGGTGTTATGACAGAGAGAGTAGAGAAAGTAGGACCCCTATCTTTACAAAAAGCAGAGAAAGAACCCTGAACAAGGGTCAGGAGACATTTAACCTCCCTGGGCCTCAGTTTCCTTAGCTTTAGAATAAATTTAGTCTAACATCATAGAGTTCTTTTGGAAGGAGAAAAGTATTGTTAATTTCCTTGTGATAATAACAGCTAATATTCATGGAGTGCTCACTATGTACCAGGTGCTATGCTAATAGGGCTTTTAACATACATTCTGTCATTTGATCCATCAAACTCATGAGTTTGATCCATCAAACTCATGAATTTCTCTTCAGTTCCCAAATCAGAAAATAAAAACACAGAAAGGTTAATTAACTTGCCCAAGATCACAGTGCTGTTAAAGAGTCGATATTCTTAACCACTATTTTGTCAAAAGTTTTTTGTAAATTATAAATGCCATATAAAGGTAATTGTAGCGTTGTTATCTGCTGAGAAGGCAAGGCAGGCACAAATATTTTAGCTGACTTTTAGTGAATGGTGACTGTAGCAGCAAGATGCTAAACAGAAAAACTGTCTGCTTTTAGGTGCTGGAAGACCTCAGAAATGGGGCTGTCAAACCAGACTTTTCTTAAAATCCATTCATTTGTTTAACAGTATTCATTGCACATTCCCTCATTGTCAGTCATAGCGTGGGACCCTTAGAGAAAAGTAATATTAATGTTTTAATTAGCAGAGTTTTATGAAAGGAGGATTCTTAGGAAGATGGGAAAGAAGAAAAGATTTTACAAAATAGAGGAGCCATGTGACTTATTTTTTGCAGAGGAGGAAAAAAGAAAGAGTGAGTCATCAGTAGGCTACAGATAAAACGTCAAGGAACCAAGCAAGAAATGGGTATTCTTTCCACCCCTTGAGAATCGTCGCAGCACCTAGCAGAATTCCGTGCACACAGTGGGTGCTCCATAAATGTTTGTGGAGTGCAGACAGACTTTAATGACTGAATGGAAGTGTTCCAGGAGATGGTTTCCTGTTTGGTGCAGTAGTAACTCAAGAGGGCAATGTTTTAATCATCATCCAATTACTCAACAGATTTATATCGGTCACATTGTACCGCTGGGTGCGGCCGACACGGACGGCCGCCTGAGGTCCGGAGACGAATTAATCTGTGTGGACGGGACACCAGTGATTGGGAAGTCACACCAGCTTGTGGTCCAGCTCATGCAACAAGCTGCCAAGCAAGGCCACGTCAATCTCACCGTGCGGCGCAAAGCGGTTTTTGCGGGTATGTTCTTCATTCAATCCTTCAGACAGTGCACCGTCACTTTATTCCCAGAAAAGCCCTCCTTCCTGTGTCTGCCTCCTCAAGCATCTATTTTAGCAAATGTTTGCAAATGTGATCAAGCTCAGAGATTTCCAGATGGCTTGCTTCTCTCTCAAACCCTGCAAAACTACTGTCATTCTGGAGTACTTTAACGTCCTATTTGCATATGTTCAGCAAAGGCTTCTAGAAGAAGGTTAGTTGAATATATATTGCCTTCCTCCCATTCCCTTGCAAACCAGAATTTAGCCGTCCTCTCCATTTGGTGATAATCCTTAACAAAAAAAAAGGTAATTTTAAAAGTCAGAAGAGTTGTAGCTTTATATTAAGAGAGCAAAAAATAGATTGGGGCTGCAAAATAAGCCCATAAAAGTTGATGGTATCTTACTCTGTTGCTGACTGTCATATGTTTTAAACCAAGTTGGTTTTGGTGTTTTTTTTTTGGGGGGGGGGTTGGTTTTTGTTTGCTTTCTTTAAGAAAGTTGTGAGAGCTGGCCATTTCTCAGTCATTTTTGATTCCATCCTCCTGCCTGCAAACTTGAAATTTTAGTTCTCAAAATACTACATATCCTTTCAGGCTCAGCTCAAATATAACCTTCCTCCCTTGGAAATTCCCTTCTTCCTCCCACTGCCTTCAGATTTTAGCATTCCCTCCTTGCCATTCTTGTGACTCATGATTTACTTCTGGATCAGAATCTGCCATTTGGAGATAGCTCATTGTGCCAGAGTCTGTCCTTCCTGTTTTCTTACCAGCTTGCTGGAAGCACACACCGTGATCGTTTGGCTTTGATTGTTCGAGCCCCTACCTCGAAATTAAGACAGAACCCAGAACGCAGAAGCAGCAGATAAAGTGTAGTATCAGCCAAATTACTGAAGGAATGTGACACGAAATATGATAAATTGTCCATAGCATTAATATTAGCAAAACAAATACCTGTCAGACAAAATTAATTGGTACCTTGTTAAAAAAAACTCATATAGCCCATTAAAAATGGTATATAACTAATTATAGAATTAAGATGTTAAATTCTAGTGCAGCCACGGAAAACAGTGTTAATCAGCCATAGATTATGTCCCTAGAGCTCATGTACAGCCTCAGAATCCTTCCTAACATAGAATCCCATGCAGCTAAAAGCAATCAACTATTATAGAATTGGTTTTTGAAACGAGGCAAACAGTATTTGACTTCCCTGGCCCAAATAGAAACAGTAAGGCGCAAGGTGATTTTTAAAAATTTGTTTCAGGTTTATTTTTAAAATCTTAAATTTTTTTGAGTTTTTAGCTCTGTGTAAAAAAGCATGTTAAATATGTGAAGAGACATGATGCTAAATGAAATAAGCTATTAGGGTAACAAAAGGACAACTATTGTACGATTCCCCTTATATGAGGTACCTAGGATAGTCAAATTCATGGAGACAAAGTAGAACGGTGGTTCCCAGTGGCTAGGAGGGGGAAATGGGGAGTTAATCTATTTAATGCCACTCAACGGGTACACTTAAAAATTTGTTGTGCATATTTTTCCACAATTAAAATCTATGAAAAGAGAAGCTTTGGGGAATTAATCTAGTCTTATCCAAAACTTGGACATGACACATTTTGATTTTGCCATGGCTGGTCCCACTAGTATATTGGCTATTTAGGGCTACTTTACCCTGTTGCCTGGCAAAGCAATGGAACTGGCGTAGTGAGGAACTTCAGAAGGAGGCTAATGTTGGCTGGGCGCGGTGGCTCACACACCTGTAATCCTAGCACTTTGGGAGGCTGAGGTGGGCGGATTGCTTGAGATCAGGAGTTCGAGACCAGCCTGAGCAAGAGCGAGACCTCGTCTCTACTTATAAATAGAAAGAAATTAGCCAAACAACTAAAAATAGAAAAAATTAGCTGGGCATGGTGGCGCATGCCTGTAGTCCCAGCTACTGGGGAGGCTGAGGCAGGAGGATTGCTGGAGCCCAGGAGTTGGAGGTTGCTGTGAGCGAGGTTCACGCCACGGCACTCACTCTAGCCTGGGCAACAGAATGAGACTGTCTCAAAAAAAAAAAAAAAAGGAGGAGGCTAATGCATCCAGTTCTGCGATGAGAGTAGAGGCTGACATCTGGAAGCTTCCATGTGCATACCTCTCCCAGGTGTCGTCCCAAATCCCTCATATGGCGGGCAGCCTTCCTGGTACTGTCACCTTACAGTCTCTTGCCCGGTGGGAAGAGCAAACGCTGGGCAGAAATGTGATGGCAGTGTCCGTGCGCAGCCAGGGTGCGTGCGTGCTTGGCCTTCCTCGCGGGCCGCGCCGCTGTCTCCTCTGCGCAGCCGGGCGGTGCTTCAGAGCGGGCGCGGCCTGTGCAAACGCGCGCCTGAGCGTGCGTGTCGCCAGTGTGCTAGAAACCACGCACCCCTGGGGAGCCCCATTTGGTGTGTAGGCTGGGATCACGTCTGTGCGCCCCGAACGGCTAACAGGTGTCCAGCAGGAGAAGCGGTTTGCAATCCCCGTGTCCCCCAGTGCTTCCAGCCCGTACGTCTGCGAGGCCAGTGCTGTCTGCCCTGCGCTCGTTTTGTTTGTTTGTTTTAATTTTTTATTATTTTATTTTATTTTTATTTTATTTTATTTTTTATTTATTTTATTTAAGTTATTTTTATTTTATTTATTTTATTTATTTTATAAAAAATAAATATTTTTTATTTATTTTATTTTTATTTTATTTATATTTTATTTTATTTTTATTTTTTATTTATTTTATTTATTTTTATTTATATTATTTTTATTTTATTAATTTTTTAATTTCAATTTTAATTTTTTTATTTTATAAAAATTTTTTATTTTATTTATATTTTATTTTTTATTTTATTATTTATTTTATTTCTTATTTATTTTATTTATTTTTTATTTGTTATTTTTATTTTATTTTATTTGTGTTTGTATTTTTTTATATTTGCAAAAATAAAACCTGGGGGCGCGGGCTGCGGGCGCGTCCCCGCGTGCTCACGCCTGTCCGCCCGCCCGCCCGCAGCGCCCAAGGCGGAGAGCGAGGCGCCGTCGCCCGCGTCGTCGCAGCACAGCGGCACGCAGCCCGCGTCGCTGGCCGAGGGCAAGCGCACGCCGCAGGGCAGCCAGAACTCGCTGAGCACCGTGAGCTCGGGCAGCGGCAGCACCAGCGGCATCGGCAGCGGCGGCGGCGGCGGCAGCGGCGTGGTCAGCGCCGCCCTCGTGCAGCCCTACGACGTGGACATCCGGCGCGGGGACAGCGAGGGCTTCGGCTTCGTCATCGTGTCCTCCGTGAGCAGGCCCGAGGCCGGCACGACCTTCGGTGAGCGGGCGGCGCGCCCCCGGGCTGCTGCGTGGGGAGCCCCCTGCTGCGGGTCAGGGGGCCCCCGTGCCTTCCCGCGCCCCCCGCCGGCGCCCGGGCCCCCCCCCGTCCCCCCCTCCCGCGCCCCCCCTCTGCGCCGCTCTTCGCCGTCCCAAGGGCTGGGTCCCAGGGGAAGAGGTCCTGCTCTGCCCGCCGTCGGCTCGGTGACGCTAGTCTTCACTGGGGACCTCCTGCAGGTCACGGGTGCCCAGTCCCAAGGGTAACAGATCCTGTCCTGCCCCCGTCTGGCTCGGGTGACGCTAGTCTTCACTGGGGACCTCCTGCAGTCACGGGGTGCCCAGTCCCAAGGTAACAGATCCTGTCCTGCCCCCGTCTGGCTCGGGTGACGCTAGTTTTCACTGGGGACTCCTGCAGGTCACGGGTGGCCCAGTCAAGGGTAACAGATCCTGTCCTGCCCCCGTCTGGCTCGGTGACGCCTAGTCTTCACTGGGGACCTCCTGCAGGTCACGGGTGGGCCCAGTCCCAAGGTAACAGATCCTGTCCGCCCCCTCTGGCTCGGGTGACGTAGTCATCACTGGGGACCTCCTGCAGTCACGGGTGCCCAGTCCCAAGGTACAGATCCTGCTCCTGCCCGTCTGGCGGGGTGACGCTAGTCATCACTGGGCACCTCCTGCAGGTCACGGTGGCCAGTCCAAGGGAACAGATCCTGTCCTGCCCGCCCGTCTGGCTCGGGTGACGCTTATGTCTTCACTGGGGACCTCCTCAGAGTCATGGGTGCCCAGTCCCAAGGGTAACAGATCCTGTCTGCCCCGCTGGCTCGGGTGACGCTAGTCATCACTGGGACCTCCTGCAGGTCACCGGTGGCCCAGTCCCAAGGATAACAGATCCTGTCCTGCCCCGTCTGGCTGTCGGGTACGCTAGTCATCATTGGGATGGAGTTACCTGGGAGCTTTTTCATTCTGAAGATAGGGGTGTTTTTTAAAAAAGCCTTTTAGGCCGGGCAGTGGCTCAGGCCTGTCATCCCAGCACTCTGGGAGGCCAAGGCGGGAGGATGGCTTGAGCTCAGGAGTTTCAGACCAGCCTGAGCAAGGAGCGAGACCCCGTCTCTGTTAAAATAAATAATAAATATAGAAATTAGCTGGAAACTAAAATATATATATATTTTTAAAAAATTTACTGGGCATGTGGCTCATGCCATATCCTAGCACTCTGTGGAGGCTGAGGCAGAGGATTGTTTGAGCTCAGGATTCCAGACCAGCCTGAGCAAGAGCAAGACCTGTCTCTGTTAAAAAAAAATAGAAAGAAATCAGCTGAAACTAATTTCTTTCTATTTTTAATTTTAATTTAATTAAATTTAATTTTAATTTTAATTTAATTCTTTATATATATATGTGGTATATACGATATATTGTGTGTTGTGTTGTGTGTGGTGTGTATAGTATATATTAAAAAATTAGCCGGCATGGTGCACATGCTGTAGTCCCCGCTATTGGGAGCTGAGGCGGAGGATGGCTTGAGATCAGGAGTCCAAACCAGCGAGACAAGACGAGACCCGTCTCTACTAAATAGAAAGAAATTATTGGCAACTAAAAATATATTGAAAAAATGAGCCGGGCATGGTGGGTGCATGCTGTAGTCCCAGCTATCAGGGGCTGAGGCAGGAGGATGGCTTGAGCCCAGGAGTCTGAGTTGCTGTGAGCGAGGCTGAGCCACGGCACTCACTCTAGCTCAGCAACGAGTAGACTCTGTCTCAAAAAAAAATGCTTTCAGCTTCCATCCAGAACATGTGATCACGTACACACAACTTTAAGCTTACATGGAATTTGTGTGACATTGGAACCCCTTGACAGTCGTTTTTGCTGGAGAAAGACTTTGATGGCCTCCTGGAGGTCAGCGATCCTGACAGCCAGGACCTCAAAGTGTTAAGGGTTTTTGAAAGGAGCCAGAGTATTGTGGACAACACGCTCTAGGAACCGTAGCGGTATAAGGAGTAAAAACACCGCGTGAGACCCTCTTCCCACCTCATCTGTGTTCTGCATCACCGTCAGAAGTTGCTTTGAAATTTTAATTTCAAATAGTTTTACTATTGGTTGATTAAGAATCTGAGTTAAGGGTCGTGTGATTTTTTTCCTGTCTCATCCAAACGTTGGGGGTTTGAGCAAAGCTGTCACCGTCTCGGAAAGGTGACTCTCTGCTGGGTGCACTGGCAGAGACAGGATTCCAGGAACTAGTCATCTGTGAACCAGTTTCCCGTGAGAGTGGATAATAGATGACACCCCAAAAAGGAGCCCCCGCCTCCCTGATTAGATAGAAAGTTTGTCTTCCAAGCACGTTTGTTACTGAGACTGGAAAGCGACAGAAGGGAAGGGCCGTGCAGGCTTTTCCTCTGCCCCAGCTCTGTCCCCCGAGGACTTACTCACATGGCGTGTGACGCCCAGGGCTGTGGGCCGCACGCTGGCCAGGGCGGGCCAGGTGCTACAGCCCTTCCGCTGTTCTGATCCAGTCGAATTCACCTGGCGTCCACTTAGTCTTGGAATGCTGCTTCCTGCCACAGCTGTCTGTCCCCGCTGGGGTCGAGGTCCAGCAGGGGACAGTGGCTCAGCCAGGTCTGCACACGTGTGGCCACGGTGACAACCGCCCATCACTCACAGTGCTTTTGTGAGCCACATGCGTAAAGGTGTCACGGCGTGTCGTGCACGGATAGCCTGACATCAAGGCCAGTTTTTGTTTTTTTTTGGTTTTTTTAGTTTTGTTTTCTCATGAGTTCTGGGTACTTTTCTGCTTCATATAAAAATAAACAGAAAGGAAGAAGGGGGGAAAGTCCCAAGTTATTTTCTTCAGTATTATTTCTTCATGCATCCTGTGATGTTCTCAGCTATTTCAGAGTTGTCAGTTTTCACTTTCTAGAAAGGAACGGCAAACATGTCAAGTGGCAGGCTCTGCGTTATATAATGGATGTCGTATTCGCACTCACAGTTTGGTCTTTGATTGTTTCCCTTGGGCTCTTTGGCAATCGACAAATTAAACTTTCCCTAATACTTTGCATGAGACTTCTGAGCTATGCAGCGCTTTCCTCATACCTGCTGTTTGAGCCTTTGCCATTCAGCTCATCCTTGGAAATGAGCTAAACTTAATCAAAACCTTGCCGTTGACTGTGGTCGCTTTTCCACCACACCTGCCTGTTGGATTCCAGTAGACTGTTTACTTCCTTTTAAAAAATTCTTTGATCTTGATGTTACACCCTGTGACACAAACTCAGGCAAGTCTCCAGAAATTCAAAGGATTAAAGTGCATGTAAACCCTCAAGGTCCAAATTATAATGGAAAAGCCCGGCCTTAAAGCCAATTTTCCACCTCTCTCTGGAAGTTGGCAGCGACATGGAGCACCTCGAAGTGCACAGGAAACCTTCCTCTGCAGACATACTTGTCCTGGTTTTTCTTATCGTGAATGTGCAGTCACTGATGATGATGAGAAAGGAGACAATTAAAGGAAAAGGATCAAGGGATGACTTGAACCTCCCTTTGGATCATTGTCCTCAGCCCAAATACGTGGTAGATTTTTTCATATTCCTTTGAGGGGATTTTTGTGAAGCAGGAGGATGATTTCAGAGCTAACGAGCCAGGTCCTACCCTAAAAGCACATGGGATGGACTGATTGAATGAAGATCCTAAAAGGAAAACAGAAGTTTCAAGGTTGGGTGGCCCCTTGGCTCATGTCTTCATAATTATGCCCTTTTCCTGAAGCTTTCATCATCCTGGTAGAAGGCAGAGAGTCTAAGCGTTTGTTCGTTAGGTGTTTTGCGATTGAATCTTTTTGGTGCTACCAGACTCTCACGCCTCACTAGAACCTGGTGATTGTTTTTCTAAATGGAGAAAGAATCAAACATTGGCAGAAGCTTAAACAACAGCTGGCAAAAGTGAAGTGATGTGAATACAGAATGAGTAGAAAGTATTATCCCAACTCTGAGTTTCACATTTGCAGTCCCCAAATAAGCCAACGGCTAGTTATTTTTTTTTGGGGGGGGGGCTCTTGAGAATCTTTGAAGTTGCCAAAAATCCCGCATTTTATGATAGATTTAAGGAGGGAAGCTGGGGGGTGTTCCTTTAATTTTGAGTCAGGAAGGGACTGGCAGCAGTGAACTGTAGTTTCAGGGCAGCCAGCACCCCCAATATTGCTCATGTTTTGACCATCAGCTCAGAGCTCTCCTTTAATAACATTTGCTTAATGCATTAATTAATTAACACTTAACCTTCTCTTTCCCTTTTCAACCCTTTTTCTCCTCCCTTCGCTGTGTTCTCACGTAACTTTAAAAAAACAAACAAACAAAAAATTGAAACTCAATACCAAAAGCAGGCAATGCATGCGCGGCTATGCCTCACAAAATAGGTCGGATTATTGAGAGGAGCCCTGCAGACCGCTGCGGCAGGCTGAAAGTGGGAGACCGGATCTTGGCAGTAAATGGATGTTCCATCACCAACAAATCCCATTCAGATATCGTCAACCTAATCAAGGAAGCGGGAAACACGGTGACCCTCCGCATCATCCCTGGGGATGGTAAAGTATACCTACTATCTCTCTCTCTCTCTCTTCTCTCTCTCTTATTAGTGTCCATGTAATTGAATAGTGTTGATTTAGAGGCAACTTCATCCATCCCTAACTGAACACCCCCTTTAAATAAATGTGACCATTGTTACTCACCCTCTTGTTTAATTAATCCTCTAGCCCTGCGATCCTGTCTCACTGCCTATATAAAAGTTCCAGAAAAATCTTCAGATGCCCCCCCCCCCAATTTATTTCGGTTTTGGCGTCCTCGTCTTCAAAACCATAAAATGGTTTTGATACAGGTGGTAAAGATCCGCCTGGTGTTTTTATCTGGAGATCATTAATGAAGTTTTCTGCACAGTTACTGAAATTCAACTGTATAATATAGTGACATTACAAAACCTACATGGTGGCAATACTGAGACAATACTATGGTTTGTCCCCCCGCCCCCAGAATAAGTGAATGTATCAAAGATTGATTTTGATTTAATAGGAGAATCTAAGGGTTTATACCTGCTTGATTTGTCCCTAATTTTTGGGTGTGGATAAAGAAAATTAAAATATCTGTATTTTTGATAGGTTATATGTGCATTAAACTAGGCCTAGCCTTGGTTGGTTGGTTGGTTGTTTGATTGGTTAAATTTAAATCTTTGGTTCTTCTGTATAAGTGGCAATTCTGTTCCCCAGGAACATTTGACGTTGTCTGTGTTGAGTGCTAGTAGCACCTAGTGGGTCAGGAATGCTTCTAAACATCCTACAGGACTACACAAAACAGTCCCTTGCAATAAAAAGTTACCCAGCACAAACTATCAATATTCATTTTATCAGTCATATTTAATAAAAATGAAATTGATACACTAATGTCAGTAAGTATAGATTCTTTCGAGAATTAAGTCCTGAATATCCACTTCATTCTAAGCTGACTCTGCCCCAGGGAGGCAAGTGAGACTTGTTCCAGAACGTTTCAGATGTCTTTTTTCATTCTTGCTATGCGTGTCATAAAATAAAATACACGTTCTAAAAGTCAGTGAGTAGTTCTCAAGAGAAGATGTGGTTTTATATAAAGGCAGTGTGATAAAAATTCTGTGTTACAGATCTGTAAAATAAGCAGATTAGAGATTTTATCTGAAGGTTATTCACCAAATGAACATTTTCTATACTAATTACTAGAAGGTGAGCCTTGTAATTCAAGATTTGAGGCGATGTATTTATTCAGTGCCTTATAGAAGAGGTAAATGTAAAACCAAACAGTAAATAGTTGAAAATTGTCGATTCCCAGATTACTTTCTCTGCACCAAAAATACCCTATGCCAAATGTGGAGGAAAAAATTAGCTCCTTGAATAGTGGTCAACTTCAGCCTCCTTCTAAATGCTTAGTTACGGTTAGTAATTTACCATCTGGTCTGGAGTCCATTCCACCAATTTGCCGCTCCGGAAAGCTATTGCAATTTGGGAAAGTGGTCACACGATGACAGAACATAGGTTCCTAATGGAAAGGATGAAGGAAGCCAGAAACTAAAGTGAGAAGTGATTGAGAGAGCCAAATGTGGTACAGGCACACCTCGTTTTGTTGAGCTTTGCTTTATTGCGCTTCACAGATACTAGGTTTTGTTCGAATTGAAGGTTTATGGCAACCCTGTGTCGAGCCATTCCATAGGAGCCAGGTTTCCAGCAGGGTGTTCTCACTCTGGGCCACATTTTGGTGATTCTCACGATATTTCAAGCTTTTTTTGTTACTGTATCTGTTACGGTGATTTATGAACAGTGATCTTTGATACTAACATTGTCATTGTTTTGGGGTAGCATGAAGCATGGCGATTAAAACGGCAAACTTACTTGATAAATGTGGTGTGTATTCTGACTGTTCCACAAGTCAGCTGCCCCTCATCTCCCTTCTGGGGCCCTCCCTATTCCCCAGGATGCAGCAAAAGTAAAATTAGGCCCTGCAGTAGCCTCCAAGTGATCATGTAAAAGAGTCACCTGTCTCACACTTTAAATCAAAAGCTAGAAATGATGAAGCTCAGTGGGGAAGGCATGTTGAAAGCTGAGACAGGCCAAAAGCTTGGCTTCTTGCACCAGTTAGCCAAGTTGTGAATGCAAAGGAAAAGTTCTCAAAGGAAATTAGAAGTGCTACTCCAGGGAACACACAAATGATAAGAAAGTGAAAACAGGCTTATTGCTGATAAGGGAAAGCTTGAGTGATCTGGATGGAAAGCCAGACCAGCCACGACATTCCTTCAAGCCAAAGCCTATTCCAGAGCAAGGCCCTCTCTGTAATTGTATGAAGGCTGGGAAAGGTGAGGAAGCTGCAGAAGAATCATTGGAAGCTAGCAGAGGTTTAAAGAAAGAATCTGTCTCTATAACATAAAAATTCATGGTGAAGCATCACATACAAATGTAAAAGCTTGCGGCAAGTTATCCAGAAAATATAGTTAGGATCATTGATAAAGGTGACTACACTAAGTAACAGATTTTCAGTGTAGATGAAATAGCCTTCTGGCCGGGCACAGTGGCTCACGCCTGTAATCTTAGCACTCTGGGAGGCCAAGGCAGGTAGATCACTTGAGGTCAGAAGTTCAAGACCACCGTGAGCAAGAGTGAGACCCTGTCTCTACTAAAAATTTAAAAAATTAGCCAGGCGTGGTGGTGCATACCTGTACTCCCAGCTACTTGGGAGGCTGAGGCAGGAGGATGGGTTGAGTGCAGGAGTTTGAGGTTGCTGAGACAGGCCTGATGCCACGGCATTGTAGCCCGGGCAGCAGAGTGAGATCCTGTCGAAAAGAGAGAGAGAGAGAGAGAGAGAGACTTCTATTGGAAGAAGATGAGTGAGACTCTGTCATAAAGAAAGAATGAAAAGTTCTGTTTTCTGATACCTCAAAAAAAAAAAAAAAAAAAAGGAAAAGAAAAAAAAAAAAGAAAGAATGAAAGAAAAGAAAAGAAAAGGAAGAAAAGAGAGGAGAGAGAAGGAGAAGAGAAAGAAAGAAAGAAGAAAAAAGAAAGAAAGAAAGAAAAGAAAGAAAAGAAAGAAAGAAAAGAAGAGAAGAGAGAGAGAAAGAAGAGAAAGAGAGAAAAAGAAGAGAGAGAGAGAGTTCAGTCTTATTGAAGAAAGATGCATCTAGGCTTTCATACTAGAGAGGAGAAATCATGCCCAGCTTCAAACCTCATTAGGACAGGCTGACTCTTGTAAGCGGGCTATGTAGCTCATGATTGTAAGTTGAAGTCGATCCTCATTACCGTTCTGAAATCCTAGGCCTTTAAGAATTCATGCTAATCTACTCTGTGTTTACAAAATGAACAACAAAGCCTGGATACGCACATCTTTTCACATCATGGGTACTAAGTTCGTAAGCCACGTTGACACCTACTGATCAGAAAAAAAGGATCTCTTTCAAAATATTACAGCTCTTGACGATGTACGGTCACCCAAAGCTCTCTGTGGTGGGCATGTATAAAGGAGATGGATAGTCTTTCATTGCCACTAACAATATCCATTCTGCAGCCCTGGATTAAGGAGCCATTCTGACATTTAAGTCTATCCTTAAGAAATATATTTTGTAAGAGATAGCTGTCCATAGGTAGTGATTATTCCTTATTCCTCTAATGGATCTGGGCAAAAGTTAATTTTTTTGTGTGTTGTTTTTTTTTTTGGAGACAGAGTCTCACTCTGTTGCCCCGGGCTAGAGTGCTGTGGCGTCAAGCTAGTCCACAGAACTCCTCAACTCCTGCTCAGTGTGATCCTCCTCTTCAGCCTCCGAGTAGCTGGGACTACAGCATGCGCCACAATGCCACCTCATTTTTTCTATTATATTAGTTGGCCAATTAATTTCTTTCTATTTTTAGTAGAGACGGGTCTTGCCTCAATTGGTTAGGCTGTTTGAACTCCTGACCTTGGCGAGTCCTCCCGCCTCGGCCTCCAGAGGTGCTAGGATTCCAGCGTGAGGCCACCCGCGCCCGGCAACTGGGAAAAGTATAATGAAAACTTTTAGGAGGGCTCACCAATTGTAATGCCATTAGAACATGCAATGTCAATGGAAGGCGTCAATGCGCATTTGGAATCGAGTATTGACCCCAGAGCTCACAGAACGATGCACCGCGGAAGAGGTTCAAACTTCAAGTGGAGGAAAGTAACTTGAAATATGTGGAAACAGCAAGAGAACCATCTAATAGAATCAAGAGCGGAGGCCTGAAGATGTGAATTGCATAGTCTCAATGGTAAACATGCAGATATGCATCTTATAGAAGGAGCAAAGAAAGTGGTTTTCTTTGGGTGGAAGCACATGAGGAAATTGCATCTTATAGAGGAGCAAAGAAAGTGGTTTCTGAGTCGGAACACATGAGGGAATTGCATCTTAAGAGGAGCAAAGAAAGTTTGTTCTTGGAGTGGAATCTACTCACGGTGTGAGAGATGCGTTAGCATGGATTGAAATGACAGCAAAGGATCTAGAATATTCCGCATAATATAGTTTGACAAAGCAGCAGCAGTATGATTGTGAGAGGACTGACTCGCAGCTTTGAAAGATAGTTCACCATTGTGATAAATGCCACGCCAACCAGCAGTTCATGCTCCGGAGAAATCTTTCATGAAGGGAGGAGTCAGTTGATGCATTTCATGTCCGATTTTAAGAAAGTTGTCGCCCAATGCCACCCAAGCCTTTAGCAGCCTATGCAGCAAAGCAAGGCAAGACCCCACCGGCCAAAAGATGGACGGCTGAGGGCTCAGATGATTGTACGCATTTTTAAAGCAATAAGTGTCTTTTTAAATTAGTTACAAATAACATTTTTTTTAGACATAATGGCTATTGCGAGCACACTTCATAGACCACAGACACAGTATACGTTAAACATAACTTTATATATGATGGTAAACAAAAATTTGCAATGACTCACTTGTTGTGTTATCTATTGCGTTCATAGAACCCGGAACTTACGAATATCTCAAAGGTATGACTGTGGTATATATTTAGACATGTTTTTCTACATGCCGCATGGAAGATTCGTAACAAAAAAAAAGA